GTCTGTGCCGATTGTTTCCTTGGAGAGCCACCCCCTTCGCTGTGTTCTGTACCAGCAGAGCTGATGGAGGAATCATTTGTTAATTGTATTTACTCACAGCATGTCCGTTTGGTGCTCAGGGTACCAGAGTGTGAACATTGACACAGTCGGTGACTGCAGAGTAGCAGGAAGCGTTAGTGGACAGATTTATGTGTTTCACTGAACTCGCAGGAAAATCTCTTGTTGGCTGTCGCCTCGGATTTGACTGTAATGTGCACACAGATGGGCAGATTGTAACAGAGGCTCCTTTCGAGCAGAGTCTAGTAATAAACCAGGGGAATGACAGAAAGGTTGAGAGGTTGATTCGGTGCAAGATTGATGTGTGTGGAGTGTCTCCTCCGTGGGCTTCTCGGTGTCACAGGAAGCTGGTAAATGCCTTTGCCACTTAAGTGCAGTGTCTTCAATGGAAAAATGAAAAATGCAGGCTCTTGCACACTCACTAGGACTTCTTGCTTGCTGCTCTTAGAGAATCATAAAGAGCATAAAAACGCGTAAGCCACGTAGATGGGAATAACACACAGGCACAGAACAGGAGAGAGGGGATCTCTTACAGAATTCGCTGGTTTTAAGTAAGGAAAGGGCAGGGGAAATCAGGACAGTAATGTTTAAAACCAGTGTTGATACTCAAAAGGTAAGCAAGAAGGTGTGGCTAGTCTTCAGGCTAGACAATGGGTTTTACTAAGTGCTGTGATGACTTAAAATGGGATCTAAAGTTGCTGACATTTGCAATTCTGTGAAAATATGCTTGATTGCATGATATATTTGATGGAGAAACTTCAAACCTATGTAGCATTGTGTGGTGGTGTGCTTATCTTAGCATCGCTCAGCCTTATTTTTGCTACTTTTAGTTAAATGCTGTCGTTTTTCCCTGCTGTTTAAGGTCTTGCAGAAATCAAAACAAGTGCCAAATTAAGTTCTGTTGGCTTTTTTTCTTTTTGGGTAGGTGCTGTGACAAAAGATTATGGACCAAAATAGATTTAAACCATTGTAAATCCATCACTCCACTTATGCTTAGTGGCATTATTAGGAGACAGCCTGTAACCCTTGATCTTAGCTGGACAAATATATCTAAAAAGCAGCTGAGTTGGCTTATCAACAGACTGCCAGGTAAGTGACGTTTTTTTGACAACTTCCCTGAATTGACCAAACCGAGGAATGTCTGCAGGGATCTGGGTATCTAAGAGAGGAGTTAGATGGGTGGGAATGACGCATCAGCGAGTTTACAGTGGAGCCAAAGTTAGTTGTGTGGTGGCTACTTGACATGCTGGGCAAACTAATTTGAGGCAGGTCTTTGTCCACAGGTAAAACGTTGCTGTGGAAGGTGCCTGCGCTGACGTGACTGGGGGGTGGGTGTGGGGGTGTCTGCTGTCCCCCACAGTAATGAACCTCCAGATGGTGGGAGAGCTGGGCAGGAGGAGGCTTAAGGGGTCCCAGCTTGCCCTGGAGCACTGGCTTGTCGCCTGGGCTGGCAGCCGATCCCTGTGGACGCCTCTCTGGGTAGGCCCCATGCTCCAACTTCTTCTGTATCCACAGGTCTTCGGGACCTGCTGTTATCAGGGTGCTCGTGGATAGCAGTGTCGGCACTTTGTAGTTCCAGTTGTCCTTTACTCCGAACTCTGGACGTGCAGTGGGCAGAAGGACTGAAAGACGCACAAATGAGAGACCTCTTGTCACCGCCCACAGATAACCGGCCAGGTAACCGGCGGGAGGAGCACGCGGGCCACCTGTCCTGGCTGTTCCATGGCGTGTTCTGCTGGTAGTGCCCCTTGGAGGAGACGGGCAGAGCCCCCCACGGGGCTCTGGGCTTTGCTGACGCGCGAGGTGTTCGAAGTAGTGGCTTGTAACACCTCCTGGCTGGAAGCCACTGGGTAACGAGTGATGTTCTCTGGCTGCTGAACAGTCATCTTGAGCCACTGTGCTGGTTTTCTGTCTGACTTTCTTCTCTTCAGGCTGCAACGGGTGTACTTTAGAGAGTATGGAAACACTTTCTTCCAGTTCAGGGAAGGAGCAGTTCTGTGGGTCATGCCACATTCGCCCGGATATCAGCTCAGGTGAAATTTTGAGCAAATCAGATCTGCTTTCTGGCATGCACTGCACAGCCTACTGCTTATTCCCGACTTGTAATTCCGCTGGGCCCCTGCAGTTACTTTCATCCCTTTTGTTTTGAAATCAGGAGGTGGCTTTGTCCACGTGCCTGTTCCAAAAATAGACAAGTGTTCCTGCTGATGTCCCCTCCAAAGCTCCAGACAGGCAAAAAGCGTCTGAAGTTGACGTAGGGCAGCAGTGTTGTGTGTCACAGTGCATTTCATATAGATCTGCAGATGTTTGCGATACGGGGTGAGACTTTTGGGAGTGACCGCTGCCTCCGTTTTCCAGGTCAGATCGACAACCGGAGTAAACTACGGAACATAGTTGAGCTGCGCTTGGCTGGCCTGGATATTACAGATGCTTCTTTGCGGCTGATCATAAGGCACATGCCTCTGCTCTCCAAACTCAATCTTAGTTACTGTAATCACGTGACAGATCAGTCTATTAACCTGCTGACCGCGGTCGGAACCACCACGCGGGATTCACTAACGGAAATTAATTTATCAGGTAAGAAACCCAAGCGCGGGGGAGGCCGTTAGACTGCTCGTGGGAGTGGTTTTACCCAGCTCTTCCCCTGCCCCCAGGGTGGCTTCACCATTTAATGTCCCGATCCAGCACTGGGGGAGGTTTCGATAGGATCCCACGAGCGAGATTAAGACACAAATGAGGCCAAGTGCCGTACGCCCAAACCAGGTTTTGTTATTAAAAGTGAAGAGGGGTAGCGACAGGGCAGAACAGAAGGGAAGACAGAAATCGAGCAAGCAAGAGTTGCAAGAATAATCACCACTGTAGATCCTCAGTCTTCAGTTCTTCGGTGGTGGGTGCACCTGGATGTAGCTCTGGTGGGGGCACACACATGGCAAAGCTTTTTAAGTTCATCCTGTCAGTTGATTAGCATACTAGAGCAGGAGGGACAGCTATTCCACAAACTCATTTCCATGAGAAAAGAGGAAAAAAAGGTGGAGCATGGGTTCTGCAAATGCATTGAGGGGGAAACCAGGGTGCACCACCCCTGGTCCAGTTGAGTTGGTCGTACTCACCCTGCCCACATTTAGTTTTTCCTCTCTGGTGCAAATGACCCGGCAGCTGTGGCGTGGGCTCCGCGTCCGTCCAGCGTGCTGGGCTGGGTTACGTGGAGGAGGAGTCACAGGGAGGTGAGAGGGGCCGTGGGCAGCACGGGAGGAGCACGCAGGACCCACCGCGGGTCAGGATAAATCCTCAAACTGAGACTTGCTGTTCAACTTCTCCCCCTTTTTATTTTACCTTTTTCCATCAGACTGCAATAAGGTTACTGACCAGTGCCTGTCTTACTTTAAACGTTGTGGAAACATCTGCCAGATCGACCTGAGGTACTGCAAGCAAGTGACAAAAGAGGGCTGCGAGCAGTTCATAGCGGAGATGTCCGTAAGTGTTCAGTTTGGGCAAGTGGAAGAAAAACTTCTGCAAAAACTGAGTTAGTTAAAGGACACGTGTAAATACTGGGGCGGGGCGGGGGGAGGGATTAAGAACACGTAGGGATTTTATTTTCAATTGGGAACTTGGAATATTGGAAAATACCGCGATCGGATTTTACAACTCTTGTCGAAGAGAGAACAACGTGAAACTACCCATGTTAAGAATTTCAACTTGTGCCACTAATTCAGTCTACCTGGGATGTCCTGCACTGGCTCTTATGCAAATTCATAAGGCGACTGTTATTGATGATAATTGTTCACACCCGGAAGACGACTGATCTCCAAGAAATACTGTTATTTAAAAGTACCACAGCATGTGCTTGGTAGTGTAAATTTGATTTCTGCTTTTCATTTCTTAAAACAAGAAAAAAAAAAAAAGTTGGTGTCATTAAAGTGGACCACGCACTGCATTTCTGCCTTCTTAACACGTTTTGTTTTGTTACATCTTACATTATGCAGAACTATTTTTGTACAAAAATTGTTTAAAAATTATTTATGCAATGTTTGAATGCATTACCAGTGTTTTGGTTTTGATTGCCAATTTTTATCTTTACTTATGGTAGGCGAGAACTTAACCTATACTTCGTAGACAGTATCTATCTACAAATGTGCCCAGGTCAGGAAAAGTAGGTTAATACTTTCAACTTAAAGCATGTTTTAATGGAAGTTTATATCCTGCTTTGTATACTTCAGAAGTGACATAAGCATGTTGTGGAAATAAGGTGTAAATTATAGTTGAAGTAAAACACTTTTATCTGTATAGAAATCACCTTTTTTCTCAAAATTTTAAAAGATTCCAATTTCAGCTTTTGCACATAGGAGGGTTTCACTCTGTAGCATGAGCTCTTGTACTCAATATGAAATTAATTTATACAGTGAGTCCAGCCGTAGAATAAATGGTCAAACGTAGTCTCTCTTTCTTTGAAGTGTGAGTTGAGTTCTCATTTAAGGTTTATAACATGGTTATTTCCTGATTGTAAAATTCTGCATTCATAAGTGCCATTGTTGTACGGTGTTGTTTTCGTAGACCTTCCTGATGCAGTTTTACCTTTGTTGAATTTGTATAAACAATTGTACAAAAACAGGGGCTGGCTCCGGGTGTCTGTTCTGAGGGGGGCAGGGGGGGTGTTTTGGGGTGGGGGGAGCTGGTTTGGGCTTGGGGGGGGTTGTGGAGGGGCTGTAGCATGTGGGATGGGGAGGTTGGAGCAGCTGTGGTGTGTAGCTTGGGTGTAAGCTGGGGGTAAGAGTGCTTCCCCAGGGAGGAGATAAAATGGAGGTAAAATACCTCCCTGCAGCTTTCCGGCTGCCCAGCCCCATCTCAAGGAACAGACACAGATCAATAATAAAATTAAAGCTTTTAAAGAATGATGAAGAATGTCCAAACCACCCCCCAGCTGCTTAAGAAACAAGGCAGAGGCAGGGAAGGCCCATCACCAACCTTTATTCAGCTCGTGTGGCTAATGACCAGCAGGGAGGTAACAGCCGGGGTGTTTTTCTTTGTTAGTTTACCCACTGAGCAGAGACTCCAGGGATTAAGTACCATTAAAAAGTTACTTCTAAAAAATAAAGCCGTTGAGAAGTTTTGCTCCCTTCTGAAAAATAACCAGCAGGGTCTCTAAGGTGTTTACTGTGAGGAGGAGCTACTTTCTCTTTTTTAAACCAGCTTTAGTTTTTGATGTAAAAGTGGAGAGCGGGTGAGCCAGCGTAGCAGAGGGGAGAGGGCTGGGGGTGCTGCAGCCTCGGCAAACCCCCTCCCTGGCTCTGGTACTTCCCCAGCATGGGGGAAATCAAAAGGAGAAAGTGCAGCTCTGTAGCTCCACCCTGCGTAAGGGATAAACCCCCGGACAGAGTCGCTCCTTCCTCCCCTCCGGCAGCATGCTGCTGGGGGCGGAGAAGCAGTTAATGGTGACTCAGCCTTGGGTAAAAGTCCATGAGCAAGTTTTACACAAATCCCATTTCCGTCCCCGTTTAAGGTGAGTAACACTCTACATTCCCCAGGTTAGCAGCGAGGAGCTTGGTGACCCTGGTTAGTATTCACAGTAACATCAGGTTGTCGGCACAGGGAGTAAGTACAATCATCACACGTAAGATTTAAGAGGTACAACAGGCAGGAGTGGATTAAGGACCACAGTAATATGGTTTACTATACCCCTTTTTAAAAAAATATTTTATTCCTAAACTAAAAAACACTTAGTAATCAGTATTTGGACAGGACGTGGTGGAGCCCTGCGAAGGGACGGAGCTTTTGGTGCATTTACAGATGGATTTGGTGACTGATGTTGGGAGGAAGCAATTAAGGGCTTAGGTACAGTCCATGGCAGTGCTTTCTACAGTCATATTTTATACTGTTAACACTGTTGTAGGGACAGTGTCAGAACAGTTACATTCTATAATTACATAAAAGCTGAATATTCAACCAGTATAGTTGTTGCTTCTAATGCACTAGATGATGTAACACACTAAGATGGCCCAGGAGAGGTTGTTTTCTGGCCACTTGTCGAGTACCGAATGTGGCAATCGGAGGTGATATTCTTCAGAAGAGAGCAAGAACTGCTGTAAACAGTTTGACTCGAACAGTTTGTGGGTTTGTAAGGTACGTCAGGCAGCGCTACTACCGTACACACACGGTACCACCCAGCCGTAGAGAAACGTTTCGCAAACTTCTAGAACCTGATGTTGAAAAACGCGTTTAATCGAGAACTAAAAAGCTGACACCCCACCCCCCAACCCCCACCCCACCCTGCCCCGAGGGTCGGCAACTCCTGCCCACAGCAATCCCAGAGGGCGACTCTAAAACCCGGGTTTGGTCTGGGTTTAGGACTTGAAGACGTGCACGGCCCGCACCACGTACTGGCGGCAGATGGGGCACTCGCTCATCCTCTTCCCGCACTTGGTGCACGTGACCATGTGGCCGCACTCCAGCAGGACGCAGTCGATGACGGCGTCCATGCAGATCCGGCACAGGTTGTCGTCGTTGTCGTTCAGCTGCATCTTCTCGCCCTCTGAAACACCAGAGAGGGAGGTCAGGGCCTCGGGCCCTGGGAAACCAGCGGAGCTCTGGCCCCGGCGCCCACCGCGGGACACAGACAGCTGACCGAGCCTCCAGCACTGCTGCGCTGTGTTCACAACAGGTTTTCTAACCCCCAGCTAAGAGAGAATCTATATTCCTTCAAAAAACGCAAAGAAACAAGAACTGAAAAGCCCCTAAGCGAACATGCAATATTTGGCTTCATCCTTCGAACTCACAGACCATTTTCAGTGCAGAATACAATGACTGAAATAACGTGCTGGATTAAAATTCAGAGTGTGTTGGTTTTCTATCTCAGCTTATTTGTTTGGCAGAAAGCTTTCCTCAGAAGATTAAACACCATAATAATAAAGCAGGCTATGAAGTGGAAGCCTTAAGAAGGCCTTAAAGGTGGCAGAACTGAACAAAACCTGTCAGTTTTCCCTGCAAATAGGCACCATCCTCCAGCAATAACCAAATGTTCTGTCAGATCATGTTAAAAAAAAAAAACAACAAACCCAAACTGTTAAATTCAAAGTTTGATTTCAGACAGGTTTTCAGTTCTAGCCCCTGACCAAGCCATGGGTCTCCCTCAAACCGTGTTCTGACATGCACTAACAGTTCCCCACCCTCACAATCCTTCTCCACCCCAATTAGTTAATTAGTTCACACCCAGCTATCCCCCTCCCAGCGCATGTGCTGGCACAGTCTGGCTGGGCGGTAGCCCAGGGCTATTAAGTTTTCCAGTCCCCTGTTCTTTGCAGCCTGGCTGCAGGGATGACGAGCCAGGCAGGCATTTCTCACTCTGGTAATCACATCAAAAAGTTGCTCCTGGGATTACACTCTGCAAACAGGAATCGGTCTGGGGCTGCACTACAGCCACACCAGTGAAAGGCTCCAACTGTTGAGGGCAACAGAGGGGTGGAAGAACAGAGTCACTGAGCCACAGCCACCAAACCACCTTATCGCAAAAACATGGACTGAGACCAAACCACCTGAGCCTGGACTTCTGCCACTGCAGCTTTTATTTCCGTGCGGCGGTAAAAGACCTGAATTGCTCTGCTCTGTGACAGCTACTGAGCAGCTCTCTCACTAATGCCTTGTGAAACCTAATAAAAGACACAGAGGTGCCAAGTTTCATGTTCTCTGAGGAACCGGTTCTCAGTTGCGCAATTTTACCTTTGCCATGAAAGCTGAGCTCTCTAAGCTTTGGAAAAAAAAGGCTCAAAACCCAGCACAATCCTGGAAAGCATCATTTACTCACTAGAACCACATTCAACTACTCCAGATGCACCTTGAACTGTTAAAACCCACTTTTCAGTTGTTCCAGAACAGACTGAGATAGATATCAAGCCCTTCTGTTGGCAGAACCAGCTACTGGAAACCTGAAAATTAAATAGTCTTAAGAAAAATAGAATAAAATATAAACCTACGTGTCTTGTGGTTTTCCTCACTCTCTCTGTATAGTCTGCTGACTTTCTCCACAAGTTCCCATTTTTCACAGCATCCTGAATAGTTGACAAAATTACATGCAAGTATTTCCTTCAGCTGCCGAACACTCAACCCTTCAATGTCTTCCAGACTTGAAATGTCGGACAGAGACGCCCTCGCTCGCTTTCGGGACAATCCAGGGGTCTGAAACACATCAATTGTATGTTTTTACCTGTCCCGGTCAGCTCAGAGCAGCAGGTCTGGTGCTACATCAAGCTGCAGCAGCCTGGCTAAAGTTTAACTCTCTTTAAAGCAGATAAGCATTGCCAGACACAGCTGACTGAAGAACTAGAGCACGATTCTAAATGCTGACAGATCTAAACAGTTTATGGTGTCACATGGCAAAAAACTTCATCTTTACATAGTTTGTATCTCACCTGCTCCTCTGCACTTTCTTCTTCTTCATTATTTATAGAAGATGTTTCTGTTTGTCCCTGTGTACAAAATGAAACTAATCAGGATAAAACACACATTATCCCTTATAAAACATTTTCCTTTGAACCAAACTGATCACAGATGACTGACATTTTGAAGTTTCAACTGGTACTAAACCTTACTGATTTAAGTCACCTCTATCATCTAAACTAGTAACCTTACCTAGTCATCTTCTGTTTTCAGGTGAGAGATAAAAGAGGCATTTTTCCTGCCACCCCAAACTGTACCAACTGGCATTTTATTTTAAATATCTGTGTACCTATTCAAGAATGTTATGCTACACCATAAAACACGTTAATTATTGTACCCGTAAAGGTGTTTCATTTCCTGTGCTTCCCCTTCTGTTTGCAAGTTCTCCTTGAGACGACACCGATACAGACATAGAAAATGGATGAGTAAAAAACCCCGAAGTCTGTGAGCGTGACGAATGCAAGCTGCTAGCGTCCATGTCCTCCTCCGACCCTAAGCCATGGTGGCACAGCACCAGATCCACCAAGTCTTCTTTCTCTCGGCAAGTATCCGTTGGTATGTTTCTGAGAATCAGATACTGACGCAGATCCTTTACTTTCAATCTCATTAACTGAGGTCGCTGAAAGGCTGTTTCTTGCAGCAAGTGACAAGTGGAACATCTTCTGAGATTCTCTTGTAGGACTGAACAAACTGAGCAAAAATCCTTCTTGCAGTCACAACACACGTGCTAAGGACAAAGGGAAAATAACCATTCAGCTGTACGCCACAAACAAATCTAGACCCTGCTCTCCCCTTCGCCAGACTACGTAATTATTACTCTTTCCACCATCAGTTCTGACATGCATAATTTTTAGGATTTAAGTCTAGAACACTGCCTTGTCACATAGTTCTGCAGGCGTTCCACACCAGGCTGTCACTTTCGTAGCACTACAGAAAGGTGGTTTGTTTTTTCATTGAAACCTCATTATGAATAAACAAATCAGTAATACACTCAGGTTGTAGTTTAGGCAATAAACAAAACTGAAAGCCACTCAATTTTATGGTATGTTAAAATACTTTTGAATATACTGTCATTGTTCTTCCTTCATGTAAAAACCAGTATAATTCCCAAACTTTCAAGAACATACTTCTTCCTCAATTCATTCCCAGAATTCAAAGTAAGCTTTAAACGTGATGACTCGCATGGCAGGTAAACACTCCCCAAATGCCCAGCTGTCATTTCTGACAAACACTTTGTTCAGAAGACTCACTACAATATATAAAAGCTAGGACTAGGCAAGATTTCCAGCAGCGATTTTAAATGGTCGTCTCACCTGCTGTGATCAAACCCAGACTCTTCCAAGTTTTTCAGGATTTTAGTAACTTAGTATCAGCTTCAGAAATTGTCCCTACACAACCCTTGCTTCAACAAAGTGTTTGCCATTTGAACAACAGGATGCACGGGAGGGGGGAAACTGAACACACGCACTGAGGAGAGAGGCTTCATGTTTATCTAAATGAGCTGCAGAGAATTAGGTCACTGAGTGGATGAATAATGATGCTGGACAGTCATGATAGTTAATATTTGTATGTATCTCAGTTCTCTTTATCTGCATTAACTCACCAACCTGCCTCCAAATGAAGGAAGAGGCTGTGGAGCGCAACAGCGTTTTAACAGAACTAAACCTGGTTAGGAAACAGAATTACACGAGTATTTCACAGACAGCAGCTGTGATACTATACTGCGAGTCTTTAGCTTCTCCATCACCCAGCGTGTTCATTCCAGTACTCAACCACTATGTTCGGTGTCATCTTCTAAACCAGATTTATTTTAATGTTTAAGATTCTGAAGCTAAAACACGTATCTTACAAATTAAAATCCACTAATTTTTGGTCAGACCAGATCCTGTGTGTCACTGATTAACGAACATCAGACGTCTTAGCTTCTAATCCTGTCTGACATTAATTTCCTGTGACCTCAGAATAAGGCACTTACTCCTTCCCTGGCTATCTGCCTCGGGTCTCCTTATCTAAGGAAAGAATACACATTCACATCCCAGTATGCCTACAGATCAGTTCATAAGACTAAAAATGCTACATAATAGGAAATATACTCACTTTTTTCCTAAAAACTGAGAAGGAAAGTCCACAGGCTTTGCAAACGATGTTAGCACCCGCTGCAGCTGGAGATGGATATGCTGAGAAGTCTGTGTTTGGTGCGAATCTGAACGGGCCAGCACCTCCCCCAAAGCCAGCCTGCTGGCCCCGCACAGCTCCAGTCCCCATGACTTCATTCAGCAACCCACAGCAGGAAGCCCACATGGAAGTAGCTCCTGCCTGGAAACATTCACAAAGAAGAAGAAGAAGAAAAAAAAAAAAAAAAATTAATATCTGAAAGTCCACATCAGATGTGACTTGCTACTGAAGAGCCACTGCACTCCATCTGTCATCATCCCAAAAGTATGTGGTGGGAACTCCCAGAGCAGCAGGAACTGGGCACACTAATGTCTATGCCAGCCCAATAATCCCCACTTCCCAGCTGCAAACCAAAGTAGGTAAGACTTGCTTCTGAGAGGCTAATGCCTGCACAAGGAGCTCGCTTGCATAACTCCTTTTCTAGCAGAGTTCCGCACAAAAAGGGTAAGGAATTTGAGGAGGTAACGCAATAGCGGAGCAAAGAAGGAAGAGACTAACAGCCAGTCATAGGTGAGGGGCAAAACTGGAAATGATGACAGGCACAACATTAACAATTTACCGTAATTAGTGCAAAGCTGTCCCCTGCAGGATCTTCTCCAGAACTAATCCAGCTCTTACATGGCTTACAATAAAACTCTTTCTAAAAAAAACATTTCTGGGACCTCAAACTTCAAAGTAGCAAACCAGTCTTCATTAGAAACTAGTTATGGTCTTGTTTCTCCGAGGGGAAAATGTTTTTTAGGACCTCCCTGAACCTGCTGTTTCGTTGTCTTACAAAACATCTATCAAAAATTAAAATAAATCTGAATTATCTTATTCTAGATCGACTGGATTTCAGTTTTGAGTCACACAATTCAATCTTAAAACACCACAAAAAATTTCTAAATACATAAATAAATGGCTATTTCTTATCCTTGAAAGCCTTCAGCGCTAGATTCTCAATCAAAAGTGCATATTCTGCTTCAAATTGGAACTTGGACTCTAAATTGCTCACATCACGTGTTTAATCACTGTCATGTGGCTCACTGAAATCTACTGAAAAAAAAAACCAACCACCACCAGCAAACAGAATTGCACCAGATTCTTTCTGAAAGGAAGCCAAGTGGTACAACTTCCTTTAAACTTCCTTATTTTCTTTTTCATACTTCGTTTCTCAACTATGCTGGTTAGGAACAGTTCTGTTTTTCTTTTTTTCATTTTCTTTTTTTTTTTTTTTTTTTCCCCCAAAGCATGAAAACATAAAATAACTGCTTTTGAGACTTGTAGGTCTTGCTGTAAAACCTAAACCAACCAGAACATGCACTTCAGCTCAGTAATGATGGATTTTTAATTCCTATAGTAACTCATTTCTATATTAAATTGCACAGTTCCCCTGAATTGAACACAGTCCTGTTACATATTGTGAGAACTTCACACAATAATTGGGGATGCGTCAGGACATCTCCTTTCAAACCACAGAGCACAAAAGGTAAAAGAGTCCTCACTCTGGTTTAGAGAGAAGCCGTGAGAAACAATGCCATGGGAGCAAACGTGTTCTACACCACCACGCTCATGTAAGTGCCTGAGGTGTGGAACATCAAAAGCATCGCTCCAACCCACACAAACCTGGTACTTCACTTTTGTCAGTTGTAAGCTGACATTAAAAATGTTGCAATACAGCGAAATACTGAACACAGTCATTTTGCTTCTGAGCTGTACAACACATAACACTGCGTGCAGTAAAAACATCAACTGTACATGCACAAACTAAATTCACTAGTCTCATTTTATAGGTATTTAATGAGAAAAATTCATCCCAGGCATAATAAGAGACCTCTGTGCAGTGGGTACCCCATGCATAGGAGAAAACCTTCCTAAGCTTCCTGCGAATGGAGTTCAGGGGGGATGAACTCCCGTGGCCCTCCCCTGACCTCCAGCCAAGGCACAGGTAGCCCCAGCACATGGCTGCACTCAGATAGCCGTGTGCCTGGAGCCTGTCTGGTGTGTAATCAGACTTCCGTGGCAATCATTAAACTATCGTCAAACCAAGACTTGTTTTCTACTCTTCAATAATAAAGAGTGGTAACAGATCAATATTAATTTTTCCTATACAAAACAAGTTATGCATAATCATCCTAGTTTATTAGGTAAGAGTAATTAACTTTTCAGAAACACATTCTGAAAACCTTAACCCAAGAGAGCTCCAGGTTTTTAAATTCGGGACTTTTGAAAAATATTTTTTCTCATCTTAAGGTAAAGTTGTCACTTGCAGAAACGTTACTCTAATTCTTCACATATTCTTAAAAACTGATGAGCAAGCCTTATATTTAAAAGATTGAACAATAACCACATACAAATAACAGAAAAATAAAACAATGAACCAAAAGGGTCTGTCAGAATTCAACTTGCTTCATTATATGATGAACTTTTTTTTCAGGGGGTCACAGCAGCAGGTGGACACACAACGACTGAAAGACCATAGCACACTTGCCACACAACCCTTGCCCAATAGTTCAACACCAGCTTCTTAGGCTTATTTTATTCAAGAGCCTGTATCAACTGCTCAGACATCACTGGCAACACCAAATAAATATAGACTTAAGAAAGTTTTGTTACCTATTTTGGATATGCAAACATTGTTAGTATCAAACAGAAAGCCTCTTTACACTTACTGCCAAGCATTCAGTCGTTTTAAGGTGAAAGGTAAGGCAACGCAGGCATCATTAATTTCCTCCTTAACCCAAGTCAGCAGTGGATTCTTCCTATGCACTAGTGTCATTAACTGATAATTCAATTACAGCGTCTAAGCTCTTCACATTACTCCGTAAAAGAAATGAGACCATGCTGAAAAGCACCAACACAAATACAAGTGAGACATGCTAAATCAAAAGCTCCCTTCCGTGAGAATTAATTAAAATTTTGCCTATTTCTGCACCAAAAGCCTGCCCAACTACATCAGCCACCACTTCCATATTCTCTTCTCACCAGCTGCCATCACCTACCTTCTATCTCCATACCTTATGTGCATCCTATAGGGGCAAAATACTGCTTTTGAACATGTTCGCTCTTATTTTTAGCTTTAAGGGTAACTATTTAGCTTACATTTGGCTTTAAGGGTAGCTATTTAGTAACCTGACGAGAATATCACCTCAGAAAGACACCCACCCCAAGACCCTGAGAGGCTGTATGCTGCTCCTTACACATCTGTGCAAGTAGGCTACGCTGTCAAAGCCAGACTAAGCGCGGAGAAGCAGAAGGAATGTTATTTTAGCTGAAATTCCGTCCTTACAGCCACCCTGAGATCGAGCATCCCTCGGAGCCCACCGAGCTGAGAGATCCCCGGTTACCACAGCCCTCAGCCCTGACCTGAAAGCACAACGGTAACCTCGGACGGGGAGAAGCGCCCGTGGAGAGCGAACCCCGCGGCCGGCCGGAGCGGGCCCG